TCCGCGCGAGCTGCTCTTTTGTCACCGGTCCGGACTTGCTGGGTCTGGCTAAGCAGGCCCGGGAATCCGATCGGTGAGGTCCCCCACAGTTTCGACACCGGGTGAGGGCCTTGCACTCTGATTCTGAGTGCATATTAGATCCGCAATTCCAGCAAGCTGGAGCGCGGGAACAACCACGGGTGGCGTGAAATTCAAGACACCGTTTGCATTGTTCGATTTTGCGACGAGGTCGGAAGAGCTTTGCAGCTCCAGAGTCGTCGAAAAGGCGGAATCCAGGTCGAGGAGCGGATTCTCGGGGAAATAGCGCTTGCCAATTTGAGTAGGGCGCCCCTGGTTTGCTAGTCCCATGAGGACGAACCAGAAAGGGAACCAACTGGGTCACTCGCGTGACTTTGTCGGCAACCATCTTTTCCATCACGGCGATTGGGCCAGCAAGAGTTCGAATTGTCTCCGGGACGGTGGCAATTTGCATGGCAACCAGATTTGATGCTGGTTCCAGTTTGATTCCAGATTCGCTCCGTGATGTGGAGGAATCTAGGAGCTCTGTTCGAGCGAGTTCATCCTTTGCAGTTATTGCAAAGCCGGTCTTTACCCGCTGAACCAACGTGATATTGTTGGCAGCGGTTCCCAGCGCCTGAGACACCGCTAGCCTTACTCCAGCTGGAGAGAGGAGACGGTGGGGGTGGAAGTAGTCAAGGCGCAGAAAAAGTCGTGAATCGGCTTTTGTCCTCGAGTTGGCACTCTTTGCTTTGGGGGCGGGTGGTGCTGCCTTTTTTGTCGATGGCCCAGCGCTACTGACTAGGCCTGCCCGAGCTACGGTGGCCCAAGTTGTCTTTGGGGCCGGAGCCTGGATTGTTGGAGGGTTAGGAACCCTTATTTCTGGTGCCCTCGGCGGAAGAGGGTTGGCGGGGCGAGCTGGGAGAGCTGGTGGTGTGCTCCCTGGGCCAGATTTTACGAACTGGCCGATGGCTGCTCGAAGATAGACTTTGATTCCGTCTACAAATTCTTTATTATCGCCAATCGAAAGAGGCGAAAGTGCTGCTTCGACACCGCTGATTGCAGTCGAGCAGATTGCGAGTCGGGCGTTTATTTGCGTCGTGCGACGCTTTTCGGCCTCCATCACTGATTGCAGCTCTGGTGGAAACTCCGTTGCTGATGTCGATGCTGCGCCTTTAGAGGCTGGCACAGCATTGTTTCCTGCAGATAATTCTGCACGTTCGGTTGTCTTTTCTCGAACAACTTCCTTTCCTTTCCTGGAGCTGCTTGCCAAAGGGGGCAGTTCGACGGGGGTTTTGGTCTTGGGACCATTGTTTTCTGCTCTGATCGGTTCAGAATCAGTCATCTCTTGATCGGGAAGATTGGTGGACTTCCCTGGGACAAAGGCCTCACTCGCAAATAGGCTTGATAATTTTTGCGCGAGGCCAGGTGTTTTTGCAGGAGCCCTCGGGCGGACTCTCGCGTTGTCCAACATTGAGTTGGGGAGCTTTTTTCGAACAGGTGGCATGACGAAAACGCCAGTGACTCGATTACAATTTATTGAAGGAATGCGACGAGCGCGAGAGGGAGAGAGAAGGGGTAAAGGGGGATATTCGAAAATTCGAATTTCAAAAAATTGTGTGTGTGTGTGTTTTTATTGTACTACTTCAATCATAGACTATCTAGCACATTGGGTTCCTCTCTGACCTAGGCCACACCTTATACAATGCTCCTTGCCTCTCATGTTCTTTGAAAGATCAATGATATACTGCCCTTGATGAATAGCCATTTAGCTTAGTATTTAGCCGTGGAATTTGGCCACTTAGAAAAACTTAGTGATCTACTTACAAAATGAGATTGAGCCAATAACGTTTACAAATACATGTCAAATGACTTAAAAAAAAGAGCCCGTGTAGTATGCCCAACATAGATGTCCTCACAGATTTCAAGGTTCATGACGTAATAAGAGTTTGTGTCCACGCGACATCGCTACTAGAAGATGGGTTTTTAACACGTTCTCCGGGGTGGGTATTCACGGATGAGGGTTGACTTGGGGTGAAGAAAAAGCTACCATAACTTTGCAGTGGTGCTTGCAAATGAAATCTGAGGCATGAGTGCTCCTCTTTTAAATTAAGTCATCTCTTCTGTATTTTTCTTTGATATTGTGTCATAGCTAGATAGCTGCACATGCAATTAAAATCTGATGCAAAAAAAATTAGAAGATGGGTGGAGGGCAATGAACCCCTGTCCGCGGTGTCATCTACAACCTGGGAGTGAAATATTCTCCCAGAGCCAAGTTAAGTCAAATTTCGCAATATCAAAGAAGTTGGCCCACGAGGCAATTATTCAAAATACTCCACCACGTCAATCTTTCGCTCTCAAAGAGGTCGATTCTTACCTATGTCTCATCAAGTCTACAAGTACAATCAAGTACATCCTCATCCCAATGACCACACCTCTCTTCGACCTTCTCTGGCCTCAGTTGACCACCAAACACACGACCACGCCGATATTTACACCCGACGGAGGAAGTAAAGCGTGGCGCACAAATCCTGGAGACAGTTCTTTTGGATGGATGTGAGAGGGATCAGGACAAGTTCAGAAAATGGTTCAGAGGATGGATACAGTCTTGACGGGCGTGAAATTTCGAAGTTTGGTAAGGAGTTTTTACAAATTGAGCTTTCTACGTGCCAAGGCTTCGGTTGCGAGAGTGCAGCTGACACTATAAAAACAAGCAAACGATGTTACTTGTTGTGGTCTGCCTCCTGGTGGTGTTCTCTGGTGTGGTTTGAGTAGCCTGGGCACCTACTCCACTTGAGACAGTAGATCGCTGGTTCAAATCCAGCAAAACATAACCAAATTTCTCGCGGCGCTGGTATGCATGGATGACGAAGGCATGCTTGGATAACCAAAGGTTTTGAAATTCCCTTAGGTGGGTACTTACAGAAGATGGTCGGCTGTTTGTGTAAGCAAGCATACCTCGAAGTGGCATTTGCAGATGAAATCCAGAGTGTGAGTGTCTCTAACGTCAAAAGAGTCATCCCACATGTATACATAGCACCGGTCATGTGTCATAGCTAGATAGCTGAATACACATTAAATGATTTAAAAAAAAAGAGAACGTCTCAAAAACCTTCAGCTATCCAGACATGCCTCCGTCATTCATTATCTTTTCTCTGCGCGAAATATGATCTGAGATGTCCCCTTCCCAAGTGGAACGGTGCCTGGGCTACTCAGACTATACCGGAGAACACCACCAGGAGGCAGACCACAACAAGTAACATCGTTTGCTTGTTTTTATAGTGTCAGCTGCACTCTCGCAACCGAAGCCTTGGCACGTAGAAAGCTCAATTTGTAAAAACTCCTTACCAAACTTCGAAATTTCACGCCCGTCAAGACTGTATCCATCCTCTGAACCATTTTCTGAACTTGTCCTGATCCCTCTCACATCCATCCAAAAGAACTGTCTCCAGGATTTGTGCGCCACGCTTTACTTCCTCCGTCGGGTGTAAATATCGGCGTGGTCGTGTGTTTGGTGGTCAACTGAGGCCAGAGAAGGTCGAAGAGAGGTGTGGTCATTGGGATGAGGATGTACTTGATTGTACTTGTAGACTTGATGAGACATAGGTAAGAATCGACCTCTTTGAGAGCGAAAGATTGACGTGGTGGAGTATTTTGAATAATTGCCTCGTGGGCCAACTTCTTTGATATTGCGAAATTTGACTTAACTTGGCTCTGGGAGAATATTTCACTCCCAGGTTGTAGACGACACCGCGTACAGGTGGTCAGTCTTGCCCTCCTATTGAGACGTTCCCCTAGGTGAGCATTCACGTATAAGGGTTGACTTGGGGTGAAGAAAAATCCACCATAACTTCGCAGTGGTACTTGTAAATGAAATCTGAGGCATGAGTGCTCTTCTTTTAAATTGAGTCATATATTAGACACTTCTCTGATATTGTGTCATAGCTAGACAGTCGCATACGCAATAAAAATCTGATTAAAAAAATATAAAATAGAAGATGGGTGCAGGCTATAACAATAGGTTGCCAGATCGGGCTAAATGAAATCAAATTCAAGAAACTTGTAGGGCCATTTGGTTAGGTGCATAACTGCTATCTTTTAGAACCTTTAGAGACATATTCAAAATTAGATCATTGACTGCAATAGTTGTGGGGTCAAAAATTAGAATCAAATTTGGAATTTTCATATTAAGCAATATTCGCCTAAAACTGGATTACTTGTAACCTCAGTGTCTGGAATTTAAGTTTTATGGTATAAAATTTCCATTAATAGCTTAGTTTGATAATCAAACACTAAATTCAGAAAAACTCTTTCATGAATATCACTCTAGCGAACGCCCATGATCCTCGAAAGATTTGAAACTTGCTTGTTGGTTCCAAGAATCGAATACCTAGAGGATTAGAAATCTACATAGCAACTTTGAATACTGTATGATAGCAGTTGTTGACCAGTTGACGCACTTCTACTCAATTTGCGTTAGAAAGATACCGGCAGTTGGAAGTTTTTGGTAAGTATGAGACCCAATTAAACTTTATCACTTGGCGTAAAATTTGCTTGGCTTCCGGTCAGAATCTTGTTGTAGGAAAGTTCTGACGAGATATCTTCTATTTATCTGTCTTTCTGGAAGAATAACATGCCAATAGCAATTAAAGATCAGAAAACACCTTTAGAGATGGTCTGCTACAGGATAGACAGCCTGGTTCATGACAAAAGATTATTTCCTAGTCACGTATCAAAAGCTACATAGTCTATAATAAAATCATTAAATTATTTCTGAAAATCATAGATTTTTCAGTTAGTTAATTAAGGTTTGAGTGACAATTAAATCACATACCCTTTTGATCTTTGACGCCCCACGCCTAGATGCCAACAAAAACTCATATCTAGTCGAGTATTTTACAACTCGTCGCTTCATACGTACGTATTTTATGTGAGAAGATCAGCAACATTCATAGGCATCTCATCAATTTGTGTCGAATAATACACTGCTAAGGTCAGCATTACTACAGAACAAACGAGCGTTGAGACATACATTCGATGTCTCTTAAAATCCTGACATCTTCACTTGTGACAAAGTTGATTGCAACACCCTTACGTCCAAACCTACCACTTCTTCCTATTCGGTGGATATAATTCTCACGATTACTTGGTAGATCATAGTTGATAACAAGTGAAACTTGTTGTACATCTATACCACGAGCCCACACATCTGTAGAAATTAATACCCTTGAGTTGCCCTGTCGAAAATCCTGCATTATACTATCTCTTTCCTTTTGAGGCATCTCACCATGCATGGAAGACACTGTAAAGTTGGCTTCACGCATCTTGTCCGTTAACCAATCAACTTTCCTTCGCGTATTGCAAAAAATAACGGCTTGTGTGATAGTGAGCGTATCGTATAAGTCGCATAATGTATCGAATTTCCATTCCTCTCTCTCTACAGCAATAAAGTACTGCTTGAGACCCTCTAATGTCAATTCGTCACGTTTAACAAGAATCCTGACCGGATCCGTCATAAACTTAGTCGTCATATCGAGAACGTCATGGGGAAGAGTAGCCGAGACAACTACAACCTGAGTAGCAGGGGGTAAATATCGATAAACGTCGTAGATTTGCTCCCGAAATCCACGATTGAGAAGTTCGTCGGCCTCGTCAAGAACTAACATTTTGATGTGCCGGGTTCGTAAATTTCGGCGACGTATCATATCTGCTACCCGACCTGGAGTTCCAGAAACTATGTGTTGACCATAGTCAAGCTTGCGTATGTCTTCTCCTACGTTGGTTCCTCCTATACAAGCATGGCATTGCACATTCATGTAATCCCCTAGGGCCATAACAACGGACTGAATCTGGGTCGCAAGCTCTCGTGTGGGAGATAGTACAAGAGCCTGTGTCTCTCTCACGGCGGTATCGATTACTTGAAGCATGCTGATTGAAAATGTCGCGGTTTTACCGGTACCGGATTGCGCCTGTGCTATGGTGTCGCGACCTTTACAGATTTGCACAATGGCACGGGATTGGACTGCAGAAGGAGACTCATATCCGTACGCGTAGATACCACGGAGAAGATTTTCTACTGTAGTAAGATATTGATTTATAGATTATAAAATCGGATTGACTTGCCCTTCAAACTCATTCCATCAAATGTTGGAATCACATTTACTTCTTTTGAGGTAGAAAACTCCATTCTCTCTTCTAACTTACGATCAATATTATTTTCACCCATTTTGATGATTTTGAGAATAAATCTCTTTTTGATGGGCCAAGTCGTGAATTTGTAAATGTTAGAGCCTCGCACAATGGAGGTTCGCGAGGTTGGAGAGCCTACCAGCGTCATCAACAAGAACCCCACAACTAACCCGCGACCACAAATTAAGAATACTCAAGCAAAGTACCTATCTCGAGTATTTTACAAGGAATTGCTACAACACAGCTGCTGTCGAGAATGATATTGGAAGAGCAAAGATTCCTCCATGAGGACCTCGAAAGGCTAGAGCAAGGTATCAGTGATCGTGTTGCCGAAGAACCACGACATGTGAGACGCCAGGAATCCCCGTTCACCTCATCCGACTAACAAAAATAGAATCGCGAGAGATTGAATCGAGACCATCAAGTAGCGTACTTTCTAGATCGAATTCAGGATCAATCAAAAAGATTGATAGAAATATACAGAGATGAAGACGGCGCCCGAGCAAAAGAAATCCAGTCTATATCAACTGGTGAGCCTTTTGAGGAGTTCTACAAGCAGCTTGGGGAAATCAAGTCTTTTCATCAAAGATACCCAAATGAGCCAGTTGAGAACTTAGAGAAGGCATACAAAAAGAAGGTATTTGCTGAAGGAGAAATCCCGTCTTATGAAATTGATAAGTTATTTACCGGGGAAGAATCATTTGGTAAATTTTTGGACCTCACGACTATTCATGAGATGTATCTCAATCTCCCTAGTATAAAGCGATTAAGTTATCTTCAGTACTTAGATGCATTCGATACTTTCACGCCTCCTCACATGTCCATCAAGAGGCACGACAAAATTACAGATCAGTATTTTAACTACGTGGCCGAACTAGCTAAATACCTCGAAGATTTTATGAGGAGAACAAGACCACTGGAAGACTTAGATAAATTATTTCTCAGTTTTGATCGGGATTTTAACACCGCGTGGGAAAATGGGGAGGTTTCTGGTTGGAAACAGGAAAAAACGGGACCTATCAGTAAACTCAACTCAAAGGTAGTCTGGTGCGCAGACTGTGAAAAGGAATTTAAAAATGAAAATGTCTACAAGGCTCATTTAAGTGGAAAAAAACATACACGAGCTGCTGATGCTAGAGCGCTCCTACGAACTGAAGAACGTGAAGAACAGGACGGCTCGGCATTGCGAGCTCCAAGCACCCTACGCCTCAAAGAACGTGCAATTGCTGAACGGGAATATCGGACGAAACGTTTGGCAGCAGCAATGTCTCAGGAAAGGAGTGATTCCAGAGTAAATATTGAACGAAAGCAGGGAATGACCGAACGAGAACGCCAAATGGAGCTTGATGCTATTTTTGCCGATACAGCCCCAACGGCGGCTCAGGGAGGTGATTCGGACAGCGACTCTGATGGCGATGAGAGAATATATAATCCACTTAAGCTTCCGCTTGCATGGGACGGAAAACCTATTCCTTTTTGGCTTTACAAGCTTCATGGCTTAGGAGTAGAGTTCAAATGCGAGATATGCGGCAACTATGTATACATGGGCAGGCGAGCCTTCGACAAACATTTCAACGAGACCCGACACATATACGGCCTAAAATGCCTTGGAATCACAAATACCACTCTATTCCGAGAAATTACAGATATCGCTGATGCAGTCAAATTATGGGACAAGATTCAAAGAGACAAGCTTAAAGGAAAAAAAGACGAAGGCAGTATTGTTCAAATGGAAGATGCAGATGGAAACGTCATGCCCGAAAAGGTTTACTACGATTTACAAAAACAAGGCTTGCTATAAGATTATTGGTATTAAATCTCTGACGTTGTACAATAGTTTCCATATCCTAAAGCTGTTAAGTTTACCCATTCGCACATTCTATTCAAATAATGGAAAGAATATTAATTATTGTATTCGTTATACAACCTGTCTCGGAGAAAATAGATCATTACCCGCCAGATTAAATGTTCTTTTTCCTCACCATCTACCCTCGATAGCATATTGTTATGAATTCATGTACAACTTATGCATTACTATCAGTATATTCTCGGAAATAAAAAGTTATAAAAATTTTGAGGTCAGTAGCTTTTTATCGAGTAGTGTCACTAATAACTAAAAATACTCTCATTGTCGGTTGGTAACATACACGTGTATACGAATATATAGGGTTCTCTCACTGAGAATTGGTTTTAATTTTTCTGCTGTTATTTTACTGGGCTTACTTACGGGCTTAGCCTTACAAATAAGCAGGGAGTGGCAAATGAGTTAGCGCCTTGTACCAGGCATGACACTTAATCAGTGCTTATATAGCTGCCATAAGAACACACCTAAGATTTGTTCAGACTCAATAGAGTGCCTATTTTATTTTTACACAATTTAATATGTAATCAGCTATCTAGCCTCGACAAAAAATAAGTCATATGTACACATGTGGAATGGCTCTTGAAAAAAGAGACATTCATACTCTAGATTTCATTCATAAATATCACGATGGGGTGTACTCACTAACACAAGCTGTCGGTTTGTCACCAGTCCTAGGTAATTTGCTAGCACAAAGATTGGGTAAAATGGTTATTTATCAATACGTGTATCTACATCTTTATATCTATCATGAATAATGAACAGAAGTAAACCTCAACGCCGTACTGACACCAAGTGACTAATATCCGTAAATTTCACCCATAGCCACTCTACCAACGCCAATATTCACACACAAGCAGTCGACCCTCCTTCATGAGCATATATCAAAAGAAAGTCTCAGAACTTCTAAATATCTAAGCGTGTATTCGTCATTCGTGTATAATAGCTTAGCGAGAAATACGGATTGGTTCAGGATTCGAACCAGCGATATTCCATCTCAAGATGGATATGTGTCCTAGCTATCCAGACTCTGCTTGGCAGACCGGCCAAGGCGATGTACCAACGCTCCATACAACCATGGCGTAGTTTATAGTGTCGCCCGCACTCTCGCAACCGAAGCCATGGCACGTACAAGGCTCAATTTTGAAAACTCCTTGCCAAACTTTCGAAATTTCACGTCAGTCGAAGCTGTATCCATCCTCTGCATCACCTTATCAACTTGTCCTGATCCCTCTCACAGATTTGTGCGTGACGCTTTGTTTCTTCTGACGGGTATGATTGATTGATTGATTTAGATTTAAGTCTCTAATGAGTCCTAGGGTATGAAAAACTACTTAAAGATCTATCTAAATAGCTCTTTAGTTTATAGGATAATTTTTAATTTGAATATTACAATTGTATGCCAGTTGATCCTGGGGGTCATGCCCTAGCCGTCGGGTGTAAATATCGGCGTGGGTGTGTATTTGGTGACGAACCGAGGCCAGAAAAAGTCGACGAGAGGCGTGGTCATTGAAATGTGGATGTGCTAAGTCGTACCTGTAAACTTTATGAGGTTTTTATGGGGGTAGAACTCGTTGGGAGTGAAAGATTGTCGTGTTAGTGTATCCTGAATCATTTCCTCGTGGGCTAAATTATTCGATATTGCGAAACTTGAATGAACATGGCACTGGGAGGATATTTCACTCTTATGTTCGTATAGTTCACCGCGCAAAGGTATACTAGATCACTCGCAGATTGCGAATGATGTTTATAATATAGGAAACGTGTATTGTAATTTCATCAAGTCTTTAATAACATAACAATTATTATTTCATTCCAACACTTAACAGATAACTTAAGTGCTACAATGGGCAAAAATTTACACCTAGTGTTGTTCCATTTTAGAATTGTGAGTAGAAGATAACGAATTATTAAAAGGATTGTCTCTGTATTCTCTGCTTATGGAGTATGTAACTCACATAGTTATTCCTCATTTGAAACTCCACTAGAGTGTGACGGGCTTTGCCCGGATTGGGACTGGTCACTAGGACAACTCCGTCTCCAAGGTAAGGTGGTGGCAGGGCACCGCTCCTGGATAGACGAAAGGGGCGCTATGGGGGTATCAAAGGGGGTACGCACCAGACGGGGAGTATGATACAGGAGAAGAGTTGTGCCGGGAGAAAGGATGATTCTCAAATGGCCAATAGAGGGAGTTAAGACTAGTCTACACAGATGTTTGGATTAGACCAGGGTTAGTAATATGCAGAGATTTTCGGATATATTCCAGGCTACTGTTTCTACTTGGTGTATAATCCAAATGTCTATGATTCAAAGTGTGGGAGGTTGAGTTTTATACATGTGTGTCAAACTGTTACATCAATGCATGCTTAGCAGTTACATATCTCAGGGGTGTAGATGCATGGAACATGTTTGGCATAGGAAAACACTACCATCGAGAACATCAAAGTAAAATTCTGTAAACGAGACTGTAACTAGATCTAACTTGACAATTAAGTCTTGTTGTGTTGCTAAGTGGATGGATGACGTATGGATACCTAGGATAGATAGTTTATAAGTGACCTGGACGGGAAGTTAGGACAAGTAGGTTCTTCGCAAAAAGCATATCATTTAATATAATAAATCATCTTTCATACACACCTATATCTACACTTGTTATATTTTCTTTGCAATACTCAACGTATATTTACACATATCGACATACGACAATCCATAATTATTTTATGCCTTTTGTCCAAACATATATAAGTCGAAAAACAGAGCATATAAGGGATAAGAGAGTACGTGGTAGACTATCTTTCCAAGGAAGAAGTTATTAATTCCTATTGAGTTATTGTCTTTCAAGTACATCTGAATTCATTAAACCCTTACATAGAGTACCTACTAGCAACAATTTTTTTTTGTGTCATTTAATGTGTATTCAGCTATCTAGCTATGACACATGACCGGTGCTATGTATACATGTGGGATGACTCTTTTGACGTTAGAGACACTCATACTCTGGATTTCATCTGCAAATACCACTATGAGGTATGTTCGCTTACACAAACAGCCGACCATCTTCTGTAAGTACCTAGCAAAGGGAATTTCAAAACCTTTGGTTGTCCAAGCATGCCTTCCTCATCCATGCATACCAGCGCCGCGAGAAATGTGGTTGTGTTTTGCTGGATTTGAACCAGCGATCTACTGTCTCAAGTGGGATATGTGTCCAAGCTATCCAGACTCTACTTGGCAGATACTAGCGACAATACTACCACCCGGAGGGCAAGACTGAACACCCGTACGCGGTGTCCACTACAAACTTGGGATTGAAATATTCTCCCAGTGCCATGTTCATTCAAGTTTCGCAATATCGAATAATTTAGCCCACGAGGAAATGATTCAGGATACACTAACACGACAATCTTTCACTCCCAACGAGTTCTACCCCCATAAAAACCTCATAAAGTTTACAGGTACGACTTAGCACATCCACATTTCAATGACCACGCCTCTCGTCGACTTTTTCTGGCCTCGGTTCGTCACCAAATACACACCCACGCCGATATTTACACCCGACGGCTAGGGCATGACCCCCAGGATCAACTGGCATACAATTGTAATATTCAAATTAAAAATTATCCTATAAACTAAAGAGCTATTTAGATAGATCTTTAAGTAGTTTTTCATACCCTAGGACTCATTAGAGACTTAAATCTAAATCAATCAATCAATCATACCCGTCAGAGGAAACAAAGCGTCACGCACAAATCTGTGAGAGGGATCAGGACAAGTTGATAAGGTGATGCAGAGGATGGATACAGCTTCGACTGACGTGAAATTTCGAAAGTTTGGCAAGGAGTTTTCAAAATTGAGCCTTGTACGTGTCATGGCTTCGGTTGCGAGAGTGCGGGCGACACTATAAACTACGCCATGGTTGTATGGAGCGTTGGTACATCGCCTTGGCCGGTCTGCCAAGCAGAGTCTGGATAGCTAGGACACACATTCCACTCGAGGCTCGTCTTAGTCTGTGGTCGATAAACTTAGGACTCGGGTACGTCAGCTTCTATCAGTCGAAGTCCGTTAGATACCGGTCCATTTCGGAATTATCGGGAACAATCAGGCGGAAAAATTTGCCGAGGCAGCCCTGAGGGATATCGTAGACTCAAAGGGTGAGCCGAAATACACAGTTGCAGCTTTGCGCCAGCACGTTCAAGAGCAGGCTCAGGAAGCTGTGGAATCCTGGTGGCTTCAAAATAGGCCAAGACGATTCGAAGAACTAGACTTGCGTATGAGACAGAAATGACCACCCGATCATGGATTGCTAAGATAATCGTATCATCGTCTAATAGCAGTGAGGGCAGGATACGGGGACATCAAAGGCTACCATGATAGATTCTGGCACGAAAATATAGACTGTAGATGCGTCTATAGAAGGGAAAGACGTCCTTGGCACTTTATAGAGTGCCGAACGGCTTTGTAACAATGGAAAATATCCAGATATGAACCACCACCAAGAAGCCAGGTTATATTGTGTCAGGCGCAGGTTCACTAGGCGCAGGACTCGAGGCGTAGGAGAGGGCGTAGCGTAGGATGTACTGAGGAAGGACACCTCGTGGTAACGCGGAGGGCTTTCTAGAGAAGTGGTAAAAGGGAAAGCGGGGAGTCGTTCTAGATAGAGGGGCCGGAGGTGACAGTAGGTCACTATGTTTGGCAGAGGACGAGAGTGAGATGTGATTAGAATAATGTAACTATTCCTAAAGACAGAAAACAAAGCGTGAAGATATCAGACTCGGAAATGGAAACTACATAGGTGCCCTCGCTAAGCAATAAAGACTAGTGGGATTAAATAAGGAACCCATAAATCCTGCCTGAGGGATTTCTCAAGAATCCTTACATTACCCCCTCCCTTCATTTTGAGTCGCGAGCTCCTGCGAGCGTGGTGCATTTGGGTAAGAGTTATG